ATCATCGCAATCATCATCCTCATCGCCATCATCGAAAGAGTCATCATCATCACCAACCGCAGCAGCATCACAGGATCATCATTATCAGCATCACCAGCATCAGCAATCTCATCAGCATCATCAGCATCGTCGTCGTTATCATAATTACTGTAATCCCACCAGCCCTTTGGGCGTGAGTGGTTTAGGGAGCTCTCTCTTTCCTCAACCCCCCTTCTTCCCCTTCGGGGAGGGGTTTACCCCTCCCCCTACCCCCTCCCCCTGGACCTGGAGAGGGGGTTTCGCGGGTGGTTGGAGGTGTCTTTTTCGACTCCTGGGAGGGCCAAAAAACGACGACCCTCACGAGGATTCTGGCCCCGACGGGGGGAGGGAGTTTGGCCCCTCTGCTCGTCTTTGAAGCAAAAATCATTAATTTTACTACGGTGTTGGCCCCATTTGGGCGTCCTGAGGGGGCCGCGCTCATCGTCCTTCATAGCTAAATCCTTGATTTTACTAAGGTTTTGGGCTCAGTTTGTCCTTCTCAGGGGGCAGCCCTCATTTGCGTTTCTGAGGAGGTCGCAAGAGGCCCCAAGATGGCCCCAAGAGGCCCCCAGGAGGCTCCCAAGAGGCCTCCAAGAGGCCCCCCAGAGGCCCCCAAGCGGCCCCAAGAGGCCCCCAAGAGGCCCCCAAGAGGCCCCCAAGAGGCCTCAAGAGGCCCCCAAGAGGCCCCCAAGAGGCCCCCAAGAGGCCCCCAAGAGGCCCCAAGAGGCTCCAAGAGGCCCCCAAGAGGCCCCACGAGGAGCCCGAACGACTCACACCAGGACGAGGGGCCCGAACGACTCACACCACGAAGAGCCCGAACGACTCACACCACAAGGAGGGGCCCGAACGAACGACTCACACCAGGACGAGGCGCCCGAACGACACACCACGAGGAGCCCGAACGACACACCACGACGCGGGCCCCGAACGACTCACACCACGAGGAGCCCGAACGAGTCACACCAGGAGGAGGGGCCCGAACGACTCACACCAGGACGAGGGGCCCGAACAACTCACACCACGAGAAGCCCGAACGACTCACACCAGGACGAAGAGCCCGAACGACTCACACCACGAAGAGCCCGAACGACTCACACCAGGAAGAAGGGCCCGAACGACTCACACCAGGACGAGAAACCCCAAACGACTCAAACCACGAGGAGCGCTTTCTCTCCCTCCTCCTCCGCCTCGTCCTTCTCCCGCTCCCACCACAAGGAGGATGTACAAGGAGGCGGGAGGAAGGAGGAACAGGGGAGATATGCGGGGCCAAGCGGACGCACGCCTGAAAAACACGACTGTCGGCATGCTTCGCGAGAGTTGCTGCTGTGAGATGGGCTGGTGGGGATACGCGAAGCGAAAAGAATTAGTATTCTTATCATCATCATCAGCAGAATCATCCTCATAATCGTCATCGGCATAACCATTATACTGATCAGCACCAGCATCATCAACAATGACCATAGTCATCAGCATCATCATCATCATGAGCACAATCCTCATCATCATTCGCCGTCCTCAGCGACAACAACATTACCACAATCATCATCAGCCTCATCAGCATCACCACAAACATCATCAGTATCATCAGCATCATCAGTACAACCACCACCACCACCATCATCGTCATCATCATCATCGGCAGCATCATCATTATCAGCAGCAGCAGCATCATCATTGTCAACCCCCCATCCTCTTCTTCATCAGCTCTTTTCCTCTTCCAAATTCTGCTGGTGCAGGTACCTGAATGCTGATAAAGCCGCTACCGAGCAGGACGCTGACGCAGACCTGCGCCCCGTAGTTCAGCGCGCTGACCTCTGGAGGGGCCAGTTCCGACTCGAGGGGCTGGGAAGGGGAAGAATGAGAAGGGGGACGAGAAGGGGGATGATGCGGAGGAATGGACGACGAGGAGGGAAGAAAGGGAGGAAACAAGCCAAGCAAGAGGAAGAGGAGAGGCGTCCCTAGGAGGAGGAAGAAGCCACTCCCCTAGGTGCGGAGGCCCCACGTACGAGTCCGTGGCTGCTTGCTTGATCTGTGCGGCCTTCAGGCGCAGATATGTGGAGTCATAAGGCGCCAAGGAGGTGTAAGAACGGCAGAAATCAAAGGCAAACAGGCTCGCTCGTTGCGAGAGAATGGCGCGCTCAGCGGTGGAGATCATGAGCTGTGACCAGCCGCAAGCGGCTACAGGCGGCTATAGCCGCGACGCTACGCGTGTGATTCAACGTAACAGCGACCCACCCCTCCAAACTATTCAAGAATCAGCCGAGAACCGAGATACATGTGCATGCGCTGTTCGCCACCGTACCTTCGGTGCGAGTGGGCGTGTGGCAGGGACGGGTTGTACCTAGGGGCGCCCAACTCGTTGTACTTATATACCCAGACCCCCTCCAATGAGAATGACTCCTTGGAGCCTTTATCGGCCTCTTGATACCACCAGGACAGTCACAGATCGCTCCAAAATGGCAACAAGACGACGCCACCAAAAGGCTCCCAGAGGCCCCCAAGAAACCCAAGGAGGGCCTCAAAGGCAACCAAAAGGCCCCAAGAGGAATCCGAGAGACGTCTTGCTCACAACCCAGGCACGGCAGCGGGATGACCGAAGGCCACTATTAAGATTCCAAGTCTGATCCTGAAGCTTAAGATTCACAACAGCAACAAAGATGGATGGCAGCCCGTTTACATTATGTGGCTTATCACCGTAGTGCCGCTTACATTCGTCTGAAAAGCTTCCACCAGCTACAAACATGGAAAGCGGCCGGTTTTCAGAATGTGGCCCTCGCTGTAGTATAGTGCCGTGCATTTTCATCCTACAAGCTTCCAACAGATACAAGGCTGGAAGGCGGTTCATTCTCAAGTTGGGGCTCTCGCTTGAGCCTTCTTCTAACGATTTGACCATACATATGTGACTGCGCAACAACTACACGGATGGGCATCGCACCATTTCAAAGTCGTGCTCTCTATCGCGTATCACCGTACCTGCAAAAGTCCGCAACAGGTACACACCGAAGCTCTGGCTGGACGTCCTTGACCTGTACCGTCCCGATGTGACTACACTTCACTGCACTTTCTGACAGTACCCCGTGGTAGTTCCTATAGCTAGCATTAGGTCGGGCATGTCCCCCTACAGGCAGATTTTGAGCGAAAAATCAAAAATACCCCAAACACAAAAATTGACAACAAAATCGTTCCCTGACTATTGTTGGACTATTTTCGAATATCTCTCCTGTAGAGGGACACGGAAGCTGGCGAGGTGCTGGACGGCTCTCTTTCCACACGGGGCTCCCGCCTGCACGCCAGGGGCCCGCGGAGCGCCCGTCCCTCGAGGGGGCGCGCCTCCCGCAGCGACACGGTGTGAAAAAGGACGCCTGCACGGACCCGTGATGCGGCGGCTCGCGACTGGAGGGGCGTGCTGCAGCATCCCCGACTGGAGGCCTCCCGAGTGGGGTCCGAGCACGCGAGGTCGGAGGATCGCGCCGCCTCGCCGATGCATCCCCGACGCATCGGGGATGCGGCGGCGACGTCGGCGATGCAGCGGCGACCTCGGCGTAGGGAAGATCGAACTCCACACCGTGGCACATCGCCGATGCATCCGCGGCGCCGCACCAGTCCTCCGAATCCATCTGATCCAGCCCCATGTGGGGGGCCTGGGCCGATGCACCCTGGGTTCACTCTGGTCCTCCCATCCTCCTCCACCTCCCCCAGGCGAGGTGCCCCGACTTCCCTGAGAGGAGCACGCGCCGCGCGCTCTCCGACCAGCCCGCTCGAGTCCTCCGCGGCGCATTCATGCGCCGAGCAGATGGCGGTCAGCAGCCGGGGAAAGGCCGGCATCACTCCAGGCCGCTCTTTTGTGGCCGAAGGCCTCCGACGACGGGGAGGGGTCAACCTCTCCTCCACTCCTGCTCCTCATTCCTCTGCCTCCTCAGGCTTGTCCTGCTCATCCTTCTTCCTTCTCCTACCCCCTCCACCTCCCTCGTGCTCTTCCTCCTCCTCCTGGTCCTGCTCCTCATCCTCCTCCTCATCCTCCTCGTCCCCCTCTATTACTATTACCATAAGTATTAGTCGTAGTAGTAGTAGGTTGTAGTAGTAGTAGTAGTCGTCGTAGTCGTAGCCGCCGTAGTCGTAGTCGTAGTCGTAGTCGTCGTCGTAGTCGTAGTCGTAGTCGTAGTCGTAGTCGTAGTCGTAGTCGTAGTAATAGTAGTAGTAGTAGTAGTAGTAGTAGTAGTAGTAGTAGTAGTAGTAGTAGTAGTAGTAGTAGTAGTAGTAGTAGTAGTAGTAGTAGTAGTAGTAGTAGTAGTAGTAGTAGTAGTAGTAGTAGTAGTAGTAGTAGTAGTAGTAGTAGTAGTAGTAGTAGTAGTAGTAGTAGTAGCAGCAGCAGTAGAAGTAGTAGTAGTAGTAGTAGCAGTAGTAGTAATAGTAGAAGTAGAAGCAGTAGTAGTAGTACTAGTAGTAGTAGTAGTAGTACTAGTAGCAGTAGTAGTAGTAGCAGTAGTAGAAGTAGTAGCAGTAGTAGTAGTAGTGATAATAGTAGTAGTAATTATAATGATACAGGTAGTAGTCGTAATAGTAATAGTAATAGTAGTAGTAGTAGTAGTCGTAGCAGCAGCAGTATTATTACTGTTACGAATGTTCTTCCTGCTTACATTCTTTACGTTGACGAAAGTATGCGTATTATCCGTAGTAGTGTGTGTTAATAATATCACAATTACTGTATTATTCGTATCCTTATTACGAATATTCTTTCTACTGTTCTCAGTGGTATTAAAACGATTAACGCTAGTAGTATTCGTATTCATGATAATATTCTCATTCGCATTATTACTGTTACGAATAGCACTGGTACTGGTGTAGGCTTTTTATAAAAATAACCCACCCACCCCCCCAACAAAAAAAAAAAAAACATCCGTATTATTGATAGCGTTGTTTTCTAGTTCCCATTACTATGTGTATGTTTACGTCGTATCGTTGTTAATGTTACCCGTGTTATTATTACTAGTAATACTTTTACAAGTGATATGATGATTATTGGTATTCGTATGATTAATGTTCATGTACGCCTTATTCGTCTCCTTCTCTATATTGTTATGAGTATTAGCATGCGCATGGTTATGAATTATTCGTATTTTGATTTATCTTACTATACTACTATGACTCATATTTTTGGTTATAATTATTCTTCTTTATCATCATCAGCATCATAATCCCCATCACCATCATCACCATTACAATCATCATCAACATCATCATCAACGACAACAGCATCGACAACAACAACATCATCATCATCGTCGTCGCCACAGCATCCACATCATCGCCGTCATCAGCAGCAGCAACAGCATCATCATCGTCATACTCATCATCCGCATCATGAACATCACTATCACCATCATCATCAACATCATCCGCAGCATCATCATCACCACGATCACCATCACTGTCACCACCACCATCACCACCATCATCATCATCATCACCGTCACCATCACCGGCATCATCATCATCATGACGACCAACACCACCGTCACTCCAGCGTCCTTCTCCTCATCCGAATCATCCTCGATCCTCGCCACACCTTACACAATTCCCTCATATCTCCGCCTTCCTCCTAAGGCACTGAAGAACTGACGACTGCAACGTCGTTCAATCGTAGCCATCCACCCCCCAGGGCCGGCCGACCCTGGGGGGTGATGATACGAATGACCCAAGCAACTCCAGGGGCGGCAACCCCTGGAGTCGCTGAATCACTAGCTAAAAGAAGACAGCTGAACAGACAGGAGGCAGAGGAAGAGGAGAAACAAGATAATCTCAAAGAAAGGAAGAGGCGCGCGAGGCGGGCCGCCGCTCGGCTGGCCCCATCGCGGGGCACCCGCCTCATTGGTCGCGGGCGACCAGGGGGGGTCTCCTGATTCACCGGGCTGGTCGGCCGGTCGAGCTGGCGCGCGCGAGGGATTGCCGCGGCCCCCACTGAGGACCCAATCAGTAGCATGTAAAAGTAAAGGAAGAAAGACAGCTGAACAGACAGGAGGCAGAGGAAGGGGAGAAACAAGATAACCTCAAAGAAAGGAAAAGGGGGCCGTGGCGGCGGCCGGCGCGGAGGCGCCGGGCGGGCGCGCGGCGTCGGCGGCGGCGGCGCGGCAACGGGCGCGGCCAGGCCCCCCCCCCCCGACCCATAGGGGGGAGCCCTAAACCACGGGCCAGCCCCACCGTGGGAACGCTCACCGACTGAAGCAGGCGCGGGGTTCCCGGGGTAGGGACTGCGGGCCGCCGCGGGGTTTCCACCGAGTGCGGGGGAGGTTCGCGCCTTCGGCGGCGGCGGTAGCCCGGTGACAATGGAAAACGGGGCCTCGTCAGGACAGCCAGCGGCGCGTTGCCCCCACCCCCCTCCGCGCCCTTCCACGTCGGAGAAGAAGTCCGCCATGTGGGAAGAAGGCAATGGGCGGCGCGGCGCAGCGCGGGAGGTGGCCACACTCGCCAACGTGGAAGCCGCAGAGGATGTCCCCCCTGCCGGTAGGAGACCCCCATAAAGAATCCACCAGTCCCACGACGGGGACCCTCGCCTGCAAACAGGCGCAGGGTTCCCGAGCGAAAGACTGGCGGGCACCTGCGGGGGCCCCACCGGGCGCGGGGAAGTTTGCGCCTTCCGCGGCAGCGGCCACGGAAGGAGCGCGGCGGCGGCGAAGGGCGCCGGCAGTGGAAAGAGCTTGCGAGCGGGACATTGGACGAGGCAGGCATGGCGCCCTCGTTGGCTCTCGGCGGCGCGGACCGCACCGTTGTTTTCCGAGGTGGCCGTTGGCGCCTGCACAATTAAATTACTTCAATTGCGACTGAGCGAGACTGGCAGAGGTGGCAAAGGTCAAGGGGGGCAGCGCAAGGAATGAGCACGCGCGTTGGCGCGGGCGGCGCGCGCTTCGCGGCCGCCCTGGCCAACTGTCGACCCACCCCTCCGCCGCGAGACTGCGCGGGCGACAGTCAGCGGGGCGAAAGTGGGGGGGGGCGGGGGCTGCAAGAGGGCGAGCCAGGAGAAGCGAAGGTTGAGCGAGGCCCGCTCAAGGCCAATGGAAAAAGGAGCCCCCCGCGCCGCAACCTCCGAGACCCCAGCTCAAAGCTGGCGATTAAGGCCCCCGCCAATGAGACGCATGAGACAGCTCTAGCCGCGCGTCTAGTGGAGCTAATGCTCTCCGCAAAGGCGTCGAGGTCGGCCGCGACGCACGCTGGCGCGAGGAGGCGCGCGCCCCGCGGCCGCCCTGGCCAACGCCGAGACAGTCGCCGGCGAGTTCGCCCGCCCACCCGCCACACAGGAAAAAATGCACCCCACCCGACCCCCCCCCCCCTCCGCCACAGGAATAGGCAGGCGAAGGTTGGCTGGGCGAAGCGGGGGGGGCGGGAGCCGCGAGAACGCGGGCCAGGAGGGGGCGAAGGTCAGGCGAGGGCCTCCCACGGCAATCTCGCGACGCGTCGGCAAAATAACACACGCGGGCGGGAAAGCCACGGCGGCTGGGCACGGCGGCTGCGAAGCCCCGCGCCACCGTGGACCCACTGCATAGCACAGCGCGCCGCAGGCGCGCTCGCCGCAGGTGCCGCGCCGCGCGGCTCCACAGGGAGGCCCGCGGAGACGCGGCGCGCGGCCGCCGCGGGATAGCGAGGTGGTGGATGGGAGCAGGAAGTATTTCACGCGGGCAAGCTGCCGCCGCTGCTGCCGGGCGCGTAGGCCACGGCGCCCGGCGACCGCGGCGGCCCGGCGACAGCGCCGCCAGCGGGGCCTGCTGTCCAAAAAAAAAGGGGGGGGGGGGGGGGGCAAGCTGGCCCCATCGCGGGGCACCCGCCTCATTGGTTGCGGGCGACCAGGGGGGGTCTCCTGATTCACCAGGCTGGTCGGCTGGTCGAGCTGGCGCGAGCGCGAAAGATTACCGCGGCCCCCACGGTGGACCCGCTCTGTTTGAACTGGCAAGGTCGCGCGTCAGCCGTCGAGGCGGCGCCGGGCCAGGACCTGCATCCGCGGCGCCGGCGTCGCCGATGGCCAGGCTGGTCGCGCCATCCAGTTCATCTTCCCCGACGTAGGCCACGCCCTTTGCTGTCTGCGTAGGCGGCCTGCGTCGTCGGCGTCGTTGACCTGCGGGTCGACGCCGGCACCCGCCGCGGGGCGCTGGTAGCGGTTGACCACCACGCGCGCCCCTCCTCGATGAAGCGCCGGGGCGACATGTGGAAAAAGTCCTCGCCGAAGGCGCGCGCGAGGCACGCTCCGCCCCGGCGGCGCCCAGGCCGAAGATGGCGAGCCTGAGCGCAGCCGTCGCTCTTTGTCGGCAAGATCGGTTGTTCGTGCGCGCGGTAATTGTCCGTTGCATGTCCGCGACCTGGCGGCCCCCGACCGTCGCCCCCGCCGCGGGTCACAGGCTGCCCTGCGACTTTGCCAGGCGGGGCGGCTCGCTGGGCCTCGACGAGCTCGCTGATCTCGTTGACGGCCACGTTGACAACGCTCCTCTGGAAGAGCGGAATCGCGAATCGAGCTGGCTCGGAAGTAGGCTTGTAGCGCATGCCCAGTTTGATGTCCGCGAGGAGGTCTCGCCGCTGTTGGGCGGCTGTTGCCAGCGCTGGCAGGTCGGCGCAGTCGTCGGCGATCGGTCAGGCGACCCGGGCGGCCAGCTGGCGACTGACGAAGTGAGCGAGGCTGGCCCGCTCGTGGGCCACAGCGAAAAGTCGCCCCGCTGAGGGGGGGCGCGACGCAGGCCATCAGGGCGTCGCATTCGCGTCTCAATGGGTTTCTGAGATCTGCACCCCAGTCGCAAGTTGTCTCGGGGTCGAAGATGTTGGCCATGGCCTCTGAGATCATCCTGCG